GTAGAATTGGGATAAACGTGAAGAATAGGCTATGGCTTAGAGGAAAATTCTATAGAACATGAAGGAAGGGATCGATCGATAGTAATTCGAGGTAAGGGGTTTAGTCTCGATTTATTATGATTGATAGGAGGTTAAAGTAGAAGTAGGTTTTGGTGTATGTGATGATTCGATGAAATATATGATGAATTATTGATTTATGATGGTTGTATGATATGATTTGTGTTGAATATAATGTGATATACAATATGATGTTAATATATGATATATGATGATTATTATGTGTTTTGGACTGAGTTTGGTACTATAATCCAAGTTGGAATGAGGCTGGATAGTGCAGAAATCGCAATTGAGAAATTGCAGTTTCGCGAGCACCGTCGGGCGAGCAAGGGGCGGGGAGAGCGCCCCAAGCATCGTCGGGCGAGACAAGTGGTGAGGGGATGGATGAAAAAGTGAGATCCTGGAAAAATGTATTGGGAGGGGCTCATCCCCCCAGTGTCGTCGAGCGATCGAGGTAGCAATGATCTCAATCGCACCTTTCATCGGGAAAGCACCAGGCGAGCAGAGTGCTCCCAAGAGCGCTAGACGATGCTTAGGCGATTAGACTCGGCATTATTTTCAAAGTGTCGTAACTTGAGTTTCAAAAATTTTTTTTACGCGCCGTTTGAAGCGTAGGGAAGCTAACACATAGAACTATACAATGACAGGGTTATTTGAATTTGATGCATGATTCTAACACCTATGTGTTGATGATATTTATTTATTACATATTTGTTATGCTATGAGGTTCTATTTGTTTTAATGACGAGTATGATGATACTATGATGTTGATGTGATGTTGACGATAATGTTGGGATGATATTATGATGATGTGCATGTTTTAAATGTGCAATTCATGCTAATTTATCTTTATATGAATGATAATGCAATTGACTAGTCGTGGTCGAACTTTATGTGATATTTTATGCATCATGCATTCATAGCATTATTTTGGTCAGTGGTCCGCTTGTAAGGAGCCCTAATCCTATTGTGTGGATTGAGTGCGTTTATGATGTGCTCCGGTTCCAAGAGGGAATATATTCTATGGTGGGGATCGTTGGAGGGTGATGAACCAGACGTTCATAAAATATTGGTACCACATGCATTGAGTCAGTATTGTGCATTAACATCCTATGTGACATTGCATGACTTTATGATGAGTTTTGATGTGATGATAATGGTGACTATACGCGTATATGATGATTTGATGCTGAAAGATGTCTAAGTGTTATTGTGATGTATATGTGAGTATGATGCGTTGATGAATAATATGTATTGTTATATGATGAGTTTGTTTGTACCTACTCGTCTTTTCCTTATATCTTTTATAATGAATTATGATTTCTCACCCTTTCAGTTTGAATGTTTCCTCCACGTGGATAACGCGCAGGTGCCCAGGAGTAGTTCGTAGAAGCGTCGATGATAGCTTTAGAGTGTTTTATTTAGTTGTTGCATTAGTGGTGTCTTACTCTGATATGTAACATCGGGTTGGAAACGCTATGTTTTGTGAGTGTTATGTTCTTTTGATATTGACATAAATTTGTGACAGTTTTGATTGCTAAACTAATTTGAATTCCAGTTGTTGATTGAGACTATGATGCTATGGGTTTTATTTTATGAAGGAGTTTGTTATGACAATGATTTCTGCTGCGATGATTTTAAATAGTATGATGAATTATAATTAGATGCATGTTTGACGTTGATGTAACCCGTGTTACGGAGAAGGAATGTATTTATGATGTTTTCTATGAAGTGTGACGCCCTTGAGTGGTGATTTGATTTGAACTAATTCGTAAATTTATGAGAATTACATGTGGGGTTAGAAGGGTGTTAGAGAAATAGCTTCAACAATAATATACATTCTAAACAGGTGTCTAACGAAGAAGATGGTCGAAAAGAAACCTTATGAAGTTTAGACAGGGTCGAAGCCAAATGTTAGTCATCTTAGAGTTTTTGGATCAATGTGTTACATGCATATACCTGAACAATTGAGAAAGAAACTAGATGATCTAAGTCAAGCTATGATGCTCATAGGTTATCATCCGACTGGTGTATACAAATTGCATTCACCAAACAATGATAAACTAGTGATCGGTCAAGGTGTTCTAGTGGATGAAAGTAAAGGGTGGGACTGGAGTCAAGGGTCAGTTAGACAAGAATTTGATACAGTCACAACTGTGTTTAAAGAAGATTAAAAAACTGAAACAATAACCATTCAGAATGAAGAACCACCTGAGCAGAATGTAAGAAGATTGATTAGATCAAGAACTGAGTTGACAAGGCTAGCTGGATATGAGAGATTTCCAGATCAAGAAGCCGATGTAGATGGTGACTTAATTGAAGAAGCTATGATGATGGCTGAAGCAGAACCAAATGATTTGGATAAAGCCATAAGTGATTCGAAGTGGCGTGAAGCTATGAAAGAAGAACTCAGAGCAATTGAGAAGAACAAAGCATGGAAGCTTGTCGAAAGATCTAGCAAGAAGCCAATCGATGTAAATTGGATTTACAAGTTGAAACGAAGATCAAATGGTGAGATTGCCAAGTATAAAGAAAGACTAGTTGTGAGAGGTTTTCTACAAAAACCTGGTACCGACTTTGACAAAGTCTATGCACTTGTCACAGGGTTGGAGACAATCAAAATTGTTGTATCAACAACAGCATATAGAGGGTCGAAGATACATCAGTTAGATGTAAAGTCAGCATTTCTAAATGGACCATTGGAAGAAGAGGTTTATGCTACTTAACACGGGATTCAACATCAAAGGGCAAGAGTCAAAAGTGTACATATTAAGGAAGGTTCTCTATGGTTTTAAGAAAGCTCCTAGAGCTTGGAATAAGAGAATATATTGCTTCCTGATCGAAGCATGTTTCACAAAGTGAGTCTCTAAACATGGAGTGCATGTAAATGATGCTGACGGTGTCAGTCAAATCACTGTATGCATGTATGTAGATGATTTGCTAATCACAGGAGCAGACAAAGCTGAGATAAAGAAAGTCAAGTTGAAACTGATGCAAGAATTTGAAATGTCCGACCTAGGCAATTTGTCATATTTCTTAGGGATGGAATTCAAAGACACATTTGAAAGAGTATTTTTGCACCAAAAGAAGTATGCTCAAGATATCTTGAAGAGGTTCAAGATGAGCAACTGTAATTCAGTTGCCACGCCATCAGAAACTGGAGCAAAGTTGAAAAAGGAGACAAATGATGAATTTGTAAGTTTGACGTTGTACAAACAAATCATTGGATCCTTGAGGTATCTTTGCAACACTAGGCCCGACATTTGACAAAGTTTCAAATTGTTAAGTCCATTCATGGATAAATCCCAAGAGTGTCATCTCATTGTATTGAAGAGGGTGTTGAGATACATAAAGGGTATGTTTGATCATGGTGTGTTGATGCCAAGGAAGTCAAAGACCAGCACAAATGCAAAAGTTCATGAATACGCTGATTCAGATTTCAGTGGAGATCAAGACGAAAAGAAGAGTATTGCAGACTATATTTTCATGATTGAACTCTCTCCAATCTCCTAGAGCTCAAGGAAATAAAGCATTGCGGCTTTGTCATCATGTGAAGCTGAATATGTAGCTGTATCATATGTTGCATGTCAAATAACATGGATCAAGATGTTGCTTGAAGAACTTAAGATAATGGAACCTAAGAAGATGAAGTTGTTTGTCGACAATAAGTCAGTTATCGACCTGACGGATCATCCAGTGTGTCATGGTTGAAGTAAACATATAGAGAGGAGGTATCATTTTCTAAGGGATCAAGTTAACAAAAGGAAGGTTGAACTTGAGTATTACAAGACAGAAGTTCAACTAGCTGATATACTCACCAAACCTCTGAAAAAAGTCAGGTTCGATGAGTTGAAGAGAAGCATCGGGATGAGAAGTCTCGAGAACATAGATTAGGTGGTGTGTTGTAATTCTTGTTCTGTCGAAATGCATAATTGAAGGTGTCGAACTAGCTAATAGAAGTTATAGAAGTCAGTTGTATTTGATAGAGTCGAATATAACATTAAAGATATGTGTTGAAATGTATTTTTGATCTAGGCTTTAGTAGCCTATATAAAGTACTTGTATGTTGTAATTTGACACTACACTCATAACAATATATTTTTCTCTCTTCTCTCTTCTTCTTGAGGAATTAACATGTCATCCCCCATCACCTATGATTTTACCATTATATCCTTGAGAATAATCATTAAATTTCAAAAAACATGAGTTTTACCAGAATTTGGAGGGCGGGGGTACCGAAAATTTCTGGAAGAAAAATTCAGAATTTCCAAAAAAGTACCGGATTTTTTGAAAAATCCGATACTGCACTTTTCGTGGAAAAAAAACTTTTTTTACACTACCGAAAATTTCAGTATATTTCAAAATTTCTAAAAAAAAAAAATTTTCAAAAAAAAGAAAAGAAGTAATTTCGGTCTTGGACATCCCCAAATTTATTCAGGGGTATTTTTGGAATAAATCAAAATAGGAGTGGTATGTTTAATTTTAGAGATGCCATATTAATTTCTCCATCTTCTCCCTCATATTTTTTGAAAACCCTTTTATTTCAACATGGATAACATAAATACATTCATCAATTTAATCTATGTATTTGACCACTTATTGTAATATATGTCTATAGTCAAATTCTACCAAGATTGATGAACAAAAATGAGAAAATGAAGAGCTATTTGAATATCTTTTCGGTTACTATCATCTCAATAAGACAATAGAAAAATAAACAAGAATACTCCAAAGGATATTCAAAATGATACTAAAAAGCTTCATATATAAGCCGCATGTGTTTGGCTAAAGTTTCAATAGTTTGAATTCAGTCACTGCTGTTTTTATAACAAAACGAGTAACACAGAAAAGCACATGCAGCATTTACAACATTGTCAAAACCAAAAGCCATTTTTTTGTCTTTGGTTTGTTATGCAAGCAGAGAAATATTGAGTTTGATTAGGTCAAAGCATCCATCCGGGAATAAATCCATTAACTTGTTGAGCTTGAGTTGTTGCAGTTAGCTGATCTGATGCTACTGGACTGTACCTGTATTCAGTCCTGCATTAAGGGACTATAGGTAAGAAAAACAATATTTCAAAGGTTTAATTATTCTAAATGCCTTGAAATATAAAACAAAATGATTTAAAGATTATTACCCAATCTGCAATGTTGGATTACATTCCAAAGGCTGAAAGAAGCTTTGTGAGTGAGCATTTTGATTACCATATGCCATACTTTGTTCACCACCTTCCCATGTTTGTCTATACTGGTTTCTTGAATTTATATTTATTTCTTCCAACTTTCAATTAAATTAAATAATCAAACAAATCATCAGCATAATAATAATGGCTTAATATGAATGGATAATAATGTTAATGACAATGGTTAAATGCTACCTTCATAGTCAAAGATCTGTTGGCTTCCATCAACATATGCTCCTAAAAAACAAACAAAGAAGGATTAGAATTAGGGTTCGCTAGAGTGTTTTTTAAAGAATTCACTATCGTCACTAAATTCATGCATTCGGGTCATTAATTGTTGTTCGATTAAGATTGGATGGTTTAGTGTTCTGGACTGGGCCCGACATGCCCAAAAGCATTACTAAGGCCCAGTCCAATGGGACTCACTAAGTACCACAACGTCCATGCCCGACACCCTGATGTCCACCTCGACATCTCAGTGTGCCAGCCCACGCGACGAAGTCACGTGGGACAGACTGCCGTCCAGCTCTATGCCCTGGCTTCCAGCTCGACATTCGCTGTCCAGCTCGAGGTCTTGGCGCCGAGCTCGACATCACGCTGCACTGCTCGACATGGACTCAAGCTACCTTGCTAGGGCAGACTCAGTCACCATTGCCCCAACGATACTCCGTAAAGACCGCGTCTCTGTCCGCCCGCACTTCACGCACCACATCCAGGGAGGGGACCACGTGCTGATCCCCACTACCCACGTAGGACCTGGCAGTTCCTCCATTGGGCCAAATCCGCCCGGCCCAGTGAAGGAACCTTGGCCCAGCGCTGGGGGCTATAAATACCCTCTGCTTCCAGAGGGTCAGGTAATCTTCAATTCTAACCTAAACTCTATTATCTGCTAGTACTCCCACTGACTTAAGCATCGGAGTGCCTTGCAGGTACCCCCCCCTCCTCGTTCAAAAAGCCTTCAGCTCGGAGCAGCCGTGACGGTCCAAACCTTCTGATCAGGTCAGATCAGTGGCGCCGTCTGTGGGAAACAGCTTCCCCGTCTAACGAACAGTTTTCAAAGACCAAAGCTCAATCCATTCACTGTCATGGCCTCTCCAACTCGTGAAGAGCAACACACTCGCGTCCTCGACGTCAACAACGGTCCCGCGGACAAGAATGGGCACCTGGACAATCCCAGTGGTGCCGGCCACAATGCCGCCCCCCTGACAACCGCCCCTGGACCTTCCACCCGCAGGGACGGTCACACTGCGTCCTCCTCGACAACTCCCCCAGAACTCGAAGACGATCCGGAAGCTCTCGCCTATCGCCAGGCTGCCCGGTTCTATGAAGTCCAGGCCCCTGTCGGAGCAGATGCCACTGCTCAGGCACTGTTCGCGGCCATCAACCAGACGAACTATCTCCTGTTCGCACAAGGAGAAAGACTTAGGGCACTGGAAAATGATCGACGCCCCCCGAGGAGACATCAAAGGCCACCATCTCCACTTCCTCGGGTCGAAGAAGCTCGACACCCTACTCCCCCGCGGAGACATTACAGGGAAATCTCTAGGAGCCCCTCTCCCGCACCAAGGCAGAGGCGGCCCCAATACGAAAGACAGCCCGTCATCCCTGCCGAAGAGCCTGTCCGCGACGCCTCAAGGCACGAACGGAGGCACAACAGAGACGGACATGTGACCTTCGCCCACCGAACATCACGTTCAAGGGAGTCCCAGCACGAGCAACGTGCCCGACACAACTACAGGACCCTTTCTCTTTCTCCAGAAAGGAGCGACGAGGACGACCCCCGCGGTCCCCTGTCGCAGGCAATCATGGACGCACCTATCCCCCCGGGCATGGAGAAGCCCCCACACCTAAAGGAGTATGATGGGGTGGCAGACCCAGTCGACCATATTGACGGGTTTGAAGCCATGCTTCACTATCACAATGTCGGGGGGCCAATCAAGTGCCGTCTCTTTCCAACAACTCTCAGGAAGGCGGCCATGGACTGGTACAAAGGACTTGCCCCGGGCTCCATCACCTCGTGGCGGAACTTGAAGAACCAGTTCATCAGTTCCTTTACAGCCTCTCGTCGCCACCCAAAGACAAAGGCAGCCCTCGAGGCCATCATCCAGAGACATGATGAGACCTTGAGGGAATTCATCAACCGCTTCAACCGGGAAGCAATCCAGGTCCCCTGCGCGGACCACATGAAGAGGTATTTGCTGGAGAGGGGCCTCCTCCCCGGCACCGAATTCAGGAAAGCTGTAGGCATCGAGCCACCTGCAACTTTTGATGCTCTCCTCGACAAAGCTCGAGCATATATGGATTACGAGGAGAGAGAAGCTGCCAACAGGGCACGGGACTCCAGAGCCCGCAACCATGGAAGCAGCTCAAGACAAGACCCTCCTCCCCGACGCACCGGAGAGAAGAGGAAGGAAGACAGACCCCGGGAGGTCCGGGAACAAAGGGGCCCCTCGGGCAGGTTTACTGAGTACACTCCGCTCACGGCTTCCCGCGAGCGTATTCTGGCGGAGTGTGCAAGCACAGATTTCAAGGACGGTGGCGTCAAGCGTCCCCGACCAGCTCCTGCCAAGCCAGGAGTAGATAAAAACAAGTACTGTCAGTACCATAGGAGTCATGGTCACTTGACAGAGGACTGCGTCCACCTGAAGGATGCTATTGAAACCCTCATCAAAGGAGGGAGACTTGCGCAGTACAGGAAAAACGACGCTCCCCGTCGTGAAGCCCGCGAGGCAAAGGAGCCCGAAGAAGATGCCCGACCATCTGACGAGTCGGTGCCAATCCAGACCGCCTACTCAATAACCAGGCCCGAGGATTTCGAACTTCCCGAGCTCCTGCAGGAGCCCCTGACTACTCACAGCAGGTGGGAATACTTCCCCTCCGCCATGGTCATCAACGGGGGCGGGTTCAGCGACCTCACCATCAATTCGGCCAAGAGGAAGTTGGACGAACTGGTCGACAAAGCTCCTCCTCAAACTGTGACTTTTGAAATGGTGAGGGGCAGATCAGAGCCCATCACATTCTACTTGGAAGAGCTCCCCGGCGGAGCACCGAACGCAGTCATCCCCTTGCTGATAAGGGCGAAGATGGCCAATTTCGACGTGCATCGCATTCTGGTCGACGAAGGGAGTTCCGTCGACGTGATGTACACCCAGCTGTTCCGGACCTTACAACTGGACGAATCCCATCTGTCTCCATATATAGGTTCGGACCTTCAAGGCTTCAACGGCTCGACGTCCAAACCTTGGGGATATGTCGAGCTCCTCGTGACATTCGGGGAAGATACTGCTACAAGACAGGTGAAGGTCCGCTTCCTCGTCATTGACTGCCCATCCCTGTACCATTGCATCCTGGGGAGGCCGACATTGGCGGAACTGACGGCGGTCCCCTCAACTGTCCACCTAAAAATGAAGTTCTATACCAAGAGGGGGAGAGTAGCCACCATCCAGGGCGACCTCGCTGCTGCCCGCCGGTGCTTCAATGCCGCTTCAAGGGGTCGGGATACTGTCGACGTGGGTCCCAGTACTAGGCCCATTAAGAAGACAAAGCAAGAGCCCGACACAGCATCTCCTGAGGTAGAAATTCAGAAGGCTCCACCAAAGGTCGACTCCATTGCGCTCGACGCCCGTTTTGACCAAGATGAACCGGCCAGCAGCGAGCAAATCCCCCTCCGACCTATTCCGGACGGTGATTTCGAACTCGTTCCCCTTGGAGCAGACCCGACCAAGGGAGTGAAGATTGGCAAGGACCTCCCCGACTTGGCCAGGAAGCAAATCAAGGCCTGTCTGCGCGAGAATGCTGATCTCTTCGCCTGGAGCGCTGCAGAGATGCCCGGACTCGACCCCGAGGTCGCCTGTCATCACCTCGCCATTGATCCAGCCGCCAAGGCAGTAGTACAACGTAGGCGTAGGCAGTCTCCAGAAAAAACGGAGGCTGCTGAAAAAGCTGTAAAAGACCTCCTAGAGGCAAATTTTATTTCTGAAGCCCGGTATTCCACCTGGCTGTCAAATGTTGTACTTGTCAAAAAGAATAATGGAAAATGGCGTATGTGTGTTGATTATACTGATCTCAATCGGGCGTGCCCGAAGGATGCTTTTCCTCTACCGAACATTGATATGCTGGTCGACAACTCGGCCGGCTACAAAACTTTGTCGTTCATGGACGCTTACTCGGGATACAATCAAATCCCAATGGCTCCGGGCGACAAACGCTGCACGGCATTCATGACCAGCTCGGGCAACTATTACTACAACGTAATGCCCTTCGGACTAAAGAATGCCGGCGCGACGTACCAACGCATGATGAACAAAGTGTTCAACAAACAGATCGGCGACATGCTCGAGGTATACATGGACGACATGATCGTCAAATCTCGAGCAGACACCGATCACGCAGCTCATCTCAAGACTGTCTTCGCCCAAGCAAGACAATGCAAAATGAGGTTCAACCCCGAGAAGTGCACATTTGGGGTTAAGGCAGGGAAATTCCTCGGGTTCTATCTAACAGAACGAGGGATTGAAGCCAACCCCGACAAGTGCCGGGCATTCGCCGACCTTCCGACTCCAACGTCGAAGAAGTCGATACAGATAATGAACGGCATGTTGACATCACTTTCGCGCTTCGTCGCGAAGTCCGCTCAGCACGCCCTTCCCTTTTTCAAACTACTTCGAAAGGAAGCAGCCTTCGAATGGACCGAGGAATGCGAGCACGCACTCCGCCACCTGAAGCAGAGCCTATCTCAACCGCCCGTACTCTCTCGACCAGATGACAACGAGCCACTTTACCTATACTTGGCAGTTTCAAACGAGGCCATTAGTGCAGCTCTTGTCCGCGAGACTCCAGACGGGCAGAAACCTGTCTACTTCACGAGCAAAGCCCTACAAGGCCCCGAGAGCAGGTATCAACAGATAGAAAAGGTTGCACTGGCCCTCGTCAACGCTGCGAGGAGGCTCAGGCACTACTTTCTAGCACACACCATCATTGTGCGAACTGATCAACCGGTGAGACAACTTCTGGGTCGGCCAGATATGGCGGGCAGAATGCTGAAGTGGTCCCTGGAACTCTCTGAATTCGACATTCAATACGAGAGCAGGAAAGCCCTGAAAGCACAGGCCCTGGCCGACTTCGTAGCCGAGATGACCTCCAACGACATTCCCCCGGGAAAGGAACACAAGTGGACCATCTTCGTCGACGGAGCCTCCAGCTCGTCCGGAAGCGGCGCAGGGATTCTCCTGGAAAAC